TGCTTAAAAATGTACTATGCATAACCCCTTTGTTCTTCATCTTAGCTTATTATGGTTCTTGTAACAAGTGAAATCACAAAATTGAATGTGAATTATATCATTATATATATGTATATATATATCCCAGTCTTGAACTTAAATTCTAGAAAACCTGGGAATATTACAAGACAGTTTGGAACAAAATGGGGAGAGTAGAATCCAAATTAAAATCTAATGCTTGCAATTCGAGCGTTGTAATCATAGTCTTTTTTTCTTCAAAAATGTGGTAAATGAAAAAGATCATGCATCATGAGTGAATTTAAATAACCATTGTAAACCATAAGAAACTTGATAGCTGTTTTAGCCTAGTATGAGACTCTTCATGAGCAAGAACCCATCACCTTATATGTCAAAAAAACTTCAAATATCATTTTATTTTTTCATTTTAACGGGAAACAAATAAATGTAATTCTCTGATCAAACTATGAACACGAATTTTCACACGATTTAAAAACTCACGTGTACATGACTTATGGGTGTTAATGTTATCAGAGTTATTATGACCAAATATATTTTGCACAAAGAAGTCGTCCTATAATGTTGTTATCTACAACAATTTACCAGAAAAAAACAACAACATCGCTTCATAAATTATGAACAACGAGAAGCATATCACTCATTAGATTATATGTTGCCTTACTAATTCCATAATGCATCTGGAAATAGGGTGATAAAATGCTAAACAACGCTTTGGATACTTTAACAATAGTCGATATATTTCAGGTAAGCCAACCAACTATGTACAAATTAGAAGTAGTCACTAGTGATGTCGGTGAAATTGTCCTATTTTGTATAAAAAAAGTTAAAGAGGAAATTTGCAATAAAAAAACAATATAATAGAGAAAATAATACTCGTTGTGGATTGGTTGAAGTTAGACATTAACACCGTTGGATGCGGGCTCAGCGGTCTAGTTGAGATAGAGTGAGAACAATTGACATAGATGAGTGTAAATAACTGGGTTACAATAATAACTATATATATATATATATATATATATATATATATATATATATGCTAGAACAGGTCAGAGGTCAAAAGGAATTAATTCTTACACTTACGTTTCAAAGGTGATGAAATTGCTGGAATAATCAATCACAGAATAAACTCTGCGTTGAAAGTCACCTACCCAGCAGCGAAACTTATGACAGTATGGCAAACGAACTGCTCACTTCAACAAACCAAAATCGACAAACCCTCTTTTCTTAGTAGCTCCAACTGCATCTACCAATTTACATGTACGTGCCTATACCGATGACCAAGGTAGCGTAAGTGGTTGTACAAATTTCTTTTGAATGCAAAGGTTAAATTTATGAACATGGATACAACAGTTACGACTAAAAATTTGTTCTAGAATTAAATCCATAATTTATAGAAAGATAAATAACTAATACAACTAAACCGCATCAACTGACTTATTCAAATTTTCATGAAGGTTATCTGAAGTATCCAAGCTTAAAAGTCTAAAATGATGAAAAACATATGCTAATGACTAGTTATTTATCCCAACTACCTGTAATTGAAAGCTTCACAACCTCATTCAAAATAAGGAGGGATTATTGATTCCAATAAATCTATGTATTGAAAAATTGTTTTTTTCTCTTTTACAACATAGAACATTTGAAAATATGTATATTTACTTTTAATCGTTTTATGTAAACAGGTAGTCGATGTATGAATAAAAATTCTTCCACCTTCATTTATGTCAATATTATCTATAAAGCAAATAATAGGAAAGAAAGAAAGTCATCAGAAGAAATAAATGAAATATACGTTAGAAATATTATATTGATGTTTGTGTTTGCTTATACCTATTTCCCTAATTATATGTAGATTCATGTTAGGGTATGGAAAATCCACAGAAATTATGAAATAGAAACTGTGTATATAACGATGTTTATTATTAGTTTTTTATTGAGTGTTTATTCATTTATCAGTTACACACTTACAAATGTATACATACAGAAGTAAACAGTACACCATGACGGCAATCATGATAATATTCCCAATCATATATATATATATATATATATCGCTGTTTATAATGGAATAACCCTTAGTAGTAAGAGTATTACTAATGATAGAAATATAAGTAGTCGTTTTAGTAGGAGGATATGTATCAATAATAGTATCATTGATACCCATGCCAAGGTTAGGGCATTAATTCAGTGTAAAACATGCCAAAAACACTGTTGTTGTGTGGAAATTATTCTTGTCTTTTCCATTTCCCTATTTTGTTGTTCTCTTACTTCACTCTTGTGAACATTTTTGTAAATAGAGTGAAGTAACAGCTGTTAAGACATTTATAACATGATTTTACAAATGTCAAGAAAGTAAGTGTATGTATAGATATATGACTGTAAGTCTGTGTGCCAAAAAAGTGTTTGTATGTGTTCAAAAGATAGATAAAGGAAACAAAAAGATTATAAAAAGGTAGAGAAAAAGATGAAATAGGTTAGGGCTAAATGTAGTGCAGATTTATTATTAGAGAGCTACATTTGTTATATATGTTAATAATAATATTATTATTCGACCGAACTACAAAAAATTATTTGTTTTCATCTAAGCAAATTTTCAATCTTGGCAAACTATATATTTGTCGGTTTGGAAACAATAACGAAGTCTGTACACTGTTCGTGACTTTTATGATTAAAATTTGTCTGGAAATCCTAGTTTTTCTTTTATTATAGTTTCTATTCAGAGCTAAAAACAGACCAATAAAAATAATGGGCTAGTTTGTTGATGATGGACTTTTCTTTATCAATAAAATAATTTATGAGTGTACAGAGCATATTTACCATAGTTTTGTTATTATTGATCAATGTTTATTTTTTTAAACCAACCTAAAATTTCTAAAGTTTTGATGAGAAGAGGTTATTATTAGTGTTTTACAAGTGAAACAATCGTTTTAATCTTCTTACTAATGATCCATAATTGTAAACAGATATAAAGTTTAGATTTCTTATCATGAATACGTGATTATTTCTTGTATTGTGCTGAATTCCTCATATCTTTTAGCTTATGTAAACTAAAATGTAACGTTTCAGGCTTATAAAAGTTCGAATATTATTATAGACCAATTTACATAAGTGTTTGAATAGTATGGGTATTTATAAACTACTTATCCCACAACTAGAATAAGTTATGAATAACAGTCTTTATACTCGTGATTCACTTCAGAACCATGAGCTAAAATTCCCTGAGAACTTCAGATACATAGTGTTTATCTACTTGATATGATATCATAAATAAGTATACTCTTTTTTACGGTTATCCTAATTATAGTAAACATTTGATCTAATTTGTAGAGTTTGATAAGTACGTAATCTTAGCAGTTCATTCGATAAATGTAAAGAATAATTTGATACTTTACAGTAGCAGACATTACACTGATTTACCACTAGCATTATCATTACTCTAACTGTTTTTATCAAGTTAAATACAATGAACTAATTATAGACTAATCCGTTTATGTAGTATTTGTACACCAGTATTCAGATTGTTTCTTGTTCTAATATATTATACTACATACACGATTTATAGCAAAGATTACACCCACTGGATAAAAGTTTAATGTAAAAATGTGTAACAAATGAAGTCAATAATTGTGTATTGATAACATCTATTAAATAGAAAGCAATGAAAGCTTTCAATGTTTAATTGCATAATTAGTTGAAAATAAAATCGTTGACAAGTATCTTTATATTATTGTCGTTAGATTCGACTTGATCAGTAATGATTTATGACAGATTATGTAATAGAAAACATACATTAAAGACAACAGTCAGATGTGTATAAATTGTTAAAATAGAACCCCAACGTCACATAATTCCAATCATATAAAATGTCGAATGTTATCTTATGCTTGTATGTGTTGTTCGTTTATCTTATTTTTTTGGAAAATAGTTTGTCTGTATACTTTCAAGTGTGAGCATCATATGTATTACACAATTTATTATGCTGTCTTAAGTCTTTCTGTATTATTCACATCATCTAAATATTTGATTTCTGATCACTTCAAGGGGAGTTCGGCCGTATGGAGTGTGATGCAGTTATCCACCAAAAAAAAACACAGATGGTCGCAAAATATCATGGATTGGTCGAAGTTAGACATTAACACTGTTGGATGTCCGCTCAGCCATCTGAAGGTTGGGCGTTCGTTCGCGAGGCGGAAAGTACTGGGTTTGATTCCAGCTGGTGAAATCGTGAACGCGCATTGCTAAAAATCTCTTAATAGAAAGAAACGGCAGTCCAATGCTTCTAAGTTTTCACTGGTGGTTGAACATTGATTGGTTCATGATTTTAATAGAACAACATACTCCATAACCCTATAGTGATGGACGCCCGCCAGCTCACTAGTTTAGAGGTTAAGCAAAATCGAAGATCCTGGTTTCGAATCCTGTATGCGGGATCGTCAATACTCACTTTTGAGGAGTTCCATACTAGGACGAAATAGTAGTCATATCAAAGTAAGAGTGATTTATTAATTTGTAATTATTATTAAAATATATAGTTTGTAATTATTTTAATTATTTAATAAATCAAATTATTGACAAAATATATAAAGATTTTCTCTATAAAATTTATTGATCCATCAAAAATTTATAAAATTTCTATTTCTAAAAATATTTAAATTTTGTTTCATTTTAAATTAACCGCAAATAAAAAAGTAAAGCAAAAAAATTTGTTTTATTTCAACTATTTTATTACATATTGATATTTAATTTAAATGAACAAAAGATGTTTCTTATTCAAGTTTTTTTAAAATTATTATTTCTAATATATAAAAGGTAATTAAACCGCTTCGAATTTCAAATTTCATGTCTTCTTCATTTGTTTTTACCAATTTTTTCTCTCTCTCTCATAATTTCTATCAGGGGGAAAATTAACTGAGTGAATTAAATATACCCAAATGAAAGTGGGTTTGTGTTTGTTTGTGTGTTCGTTGACGACGACGACGGTAATGATGATGATGATAATGATAAATGATGATGATGATGATGATGATGATGATGATGATGATGATGATGATGATGATGATGATGATGATGATGATGATGATGACGATGACGAGGATGACGATGATGAAGATGATGATGATGGTGATGACGTTGATGAAAATCATGAAATACTTATTTTTTTTAAAAAAAAATACACATTCCCTGCTAGATTTTCTTTTAAGGATAAAAGTTTTCAGACAAAAGAAAATGTATCATCATTTATTTTCATCCTAAATTACCAGTCATTATTGGTTTTTCATCATTCTAATTTGTTTAGAATCAAACTAATAAAATTTACTTTTTTTTTGCATGGAACTAATTCAATAATGCAAATTTATGTTAAGTTTGTTGTAAAAGAGAAAAAGAAAATTCTTAAATACTTTCAACTGTATGAAAATTTAGCAAGATCAACATTCAATTAGCTTCAATGATGCAATAAATCATCTTTGATCAATCTTAAAGAAGACAAATAAGCGTTTATTTTTTGTCTATTATGCAAACTATTATTCAATATTAATCTTTATTTTAATTGATATCAATTACATACGCACCAGAATATCATTATATATTTTTATTATAAATGATTACTTAATCAAGCTGAAGCTTAGTAAGTAGTATTTAAATTTTTTTCTGAGATCGTTGAACAGAAATTATTAATGTAAGGTGATAATTGTAAATAGTTGACGTGAAACCCTGGACATAGATGTTGTGTTGATTGTCACTCGTCAGTGCGCTTTACATGTAATCTAAAGGAGACCGACACTACCTGATGGATTCAATTCCGTACCAATCAGCTTCATCGTCAGAGACCTCCTTTTGAACTGATTGATCACTGAGTAGTGACCAGTGTCATGTATTTCAGACCTTGTGGCGCCGCTATCTGGCCCCAGTTTGGATGAACGTATGAAAATGCTATGAACTTAAATCTCCAATTTAACTCAGTACATTACCTAGGATAACCAAGTCTGTGACGACGGTAATAAGAAGCTAAATACAGTTTGTATTGGAGGGATTTATTCGGACAAATATTAGAACGGAAAGCGAGAAATCAAAGCGAATTGGAGCGGAGTTGACTCTCTTGCCTTCTCCACACCGTTTATCTGGTTGTGCGTTTGGATCAGTGATTGTACAAAATATACGTATTCAAAGTTCGTTCTCGTATTTCACTCATTTAATTACGTTATTTACTAATGTGATTTAGGTTGATAATTATATATATATATATATATATATATATATATATATATATATATATATATATATATATATATATATATATATATATATATATAGGGTAGCTTGGATGTATAAGAACAACAAAAGACTTTCATCAGAGCAGAGAGAATTCTATAAACCAAGCACTAAGAAGAAATTGACACATATGACACTGGTCACTATCCAGTGATCAATGAATTGTAAAGATTGTTTATTTTGAACTACTAGTCGATATTTAGAAATTCAGAGTTTTCTGAAGACAACCAACTAACCACGAATAAGTACATTACTGACTTAAATCAAAGTTTATTTCAGTGACGTTTATGTCTAGTAAAATTTCTGAAGAATAACTTACTTCCTTATGGAGTATAATAGGCCGCCCACAAGCACTATGCATCCAACGCTGTCCTGGACAATCCTTTCTAGTTATCTCCACTTGCCATTCATCCTTTCCATGTGTGCTTCCAATTACCGAGCAGTGTGTTCCTTGGCCTTCCAGTTCTCTGTTTCCTTTCTCATTTAAAAATTAGACCTTGCCTCATGATACGGTTTCATGATTTCCTCAATGTATGTCCTGTCCGCTCACAACGTACTTCCCGAATTCCTTCATATGCTCACAGTTGGTTTGTTTGCTGCCATAGTAGAATGCTCCTGATGGAATCCGGTAAACGGATATTCAGTATCTTGCTTAGACAACTATTCATAAGTACTTGTACGGTTTTGATGATGGTTGTGGTAGTTCTTCAAGTTTCAACTCCATACAGTAGAATTGTCTTCATGTTCGTATTGAAGATTGTGACTTTGATATTGGCTAACAGTTGTTTAAGTTACGTATGTTGTTCAATTGTAGGAGTGCTGCTCTTTGTGTGCCAATCCTTGAAGTCACATCTATTCTAGATCCTCTTTGTTCATCGACAATGATGCTCAGATAGGTACGTGCATTTTTCCACCTCCTCCAGAGTTTCTCCATTAATTGTGATCGAGATGGTTTTCTCTGTGTTGTAATTGAGGATGTTGCTTTTCCCTCGAGTATGTTGATGCCTTCTGATGTAGAGGCTGACACTGTCACTCTGGTTGTCTTGACCTATATTTGCTGAGGTGTATGGGATAGAAGAGTTAGGTCATCTGTGAAGTCCAAGTCGTCTAGTTGCATGCAAGCTGTCGAATCGGTTTTTATTATTCAGTCAACCACCGGAAGAAAGAGGATGTGAGGAGAGTAAGCAGTCTTGTCTGAGTCCAGCTCTCACTTGGAGTGCGTCTGTCAACTGTCCTCCATACATCACTTCGCAGTGTATTTTTTCGTGTGAATTCTTGATGATGTAGACGTTTTCTTCAGGTACACCGTAGTGTTGAGGAAGGTTCTATAAGGTCCTCCTATGTTAGGTCCCGATAAGCATAATGGATGGTAACTTTTGGGATCCATTTATGGACCAATACTATCCGCACATTTTTATCGTATATTTGTTGAATAATTAAACTATTCATATTCATGTCCCTCTTATCATGAGTTTTATTTTGACCTATGAACTATTATTATACGATTTACCATTCTTGAATTATGCCCTGTCTATTAGTCACTGCTTCACACATTCACAGCCACATTTGGCCAAATTTTGTACAAATGTTATTTTCTATTTTATGCTACGTTGTAGTCTTTTTGATTGGAATATAAACTCAGTATGTTTGAAATATAAGGATTCATATTGCAGAGGCTGTGATTGGTGTTCCGGAATTAAGTGGCTGGGCTAGGCACGAAGCAGGACCAATAAGGACTCTAGACTGCTCGTACGGGTTTTACGCACCATTGGCCCGAACGATAATTTACCGCTCTCTTATTGGCGGTATCGTTAAGTTATCCACTAACAGGACACAGGCTACAAGTTATAGCGTCCTATTATAACATCAGACGCATTGTCGTAGCTAAGGTATCTGTTGTATATTGACGAGTTCCATTTGATTGATCATTCAACGATGATCTGTAGTGTGGTGATTTGGTGTGTGCACGGTCGATCCATACAGAATCCACCCTGTCGTTCTCGATGTCGGTCGTCTACTGAATACTCTGGTGAAACATTTTCCTGGTACCAACAATAGTATGGTTCTTCTGTAGTTCCTACATTTGCTCAAATCTCCTTTCTTTGGTATCTTCATATGGCGTCCTCCTTTCCAGTTTGTCGGCACTTGTCTTTCCTCCCGAATCTTCTTGAGTACAATGTGGAGCATGTTTGCAGTTGCTTCTATGTCTGAATTTAGTCCTTCGGCTGGTAGGTTGTCAAGTCCTACTGCTTTCCCACTCCCGATTTGTCTGATAGTCATGCTGATTTCTTCAATGGTTGGTGGAGCGATAGTTAAAGGAATGTCTGTGTAAGCTACTTTGATGTTCAATGGATTAGGTGGGACCGGTCTATTCAAAAGTTCAAATATTCTACCCATCTTTTCCTCCGTTCTTAAATCACAGTGTAATCAGCCTCGCGACTTCCTAGGAATCTCGGCTTTCACCATGAGGCGTCATAATTAATTTGTATATCCTGGTCAACGTTTTTTTAGCAAGGTTATTTTCTACGGGATCGGGTTTCCGACCCCACGCAAAAACCTACCTACTTTGTGTGAGCTTGGGACTGAGAGTAACCCTAGAAGAGTTACAGGCGGAGTTCGGAATACCTACAAAACTCTATGTTCATTTTATTATGTGAGTTTTTTTAGTGCCATATAAACTTTTAGCTTGGTCAAGCTGTTGGATCTATGCTCGAGACGATTAATTTATTTACTAAACTGTGTGGGAAGAATTGTTAGCATTCTGAGTACGTATCTTACTTTTATTCAGTGGTATAATGTTTCTAGAGTTAGACTTTTTATTCGCATTACGTAATCTAATAAAATTTATAGAAATTTTTGAAAAGAAAATCGTCACGTTATCTAAACAATGAATATATTATACTCTAACAAACAAATGTTTTCCTAACAAGCTCTTCAATTGATCAACCACTGATGAAATGGTTTTGATATGATAAATTCATTATTACTTTATCTCTTATCAAGTAATCTTGTCATTTTTACTAGTGTATCTTCAATGAACAACGTTTTACTTTTAAAGTAGATGCATTAAGACATAAAGATGATATACTTATATGGGAGAAACCGATAATTTTACAGTTGTGATTATATTTACAGTTTGTGATTTTATGACTTCGTATTATTTACTTTTTCTCATCAATATAGACTAATGTATATGTATATACATGTATATGATAATAAAACAAATGGTAGAAACTGGCAATACAAATAATAATCATGTCATTTATCTATTAAATCATCATTTCTGTGAAGATGTTCATTAGATTATCTACTTTTAGTTTGTTGATAAACAGTCATTTTGTTTAAGGGAATCAACTTTCTCTTTAAGCTGACATTTTTGGTTCTGTTCCGCATGAAACAGTGTTTTGCTTTACTTCTATTCTGTGCTTTAAAATGTAATACTGTCGTTCTGTTGTAACGGGTGACTGCAGGATTTGGTACCGATCGATCACAGTAACACGGAAAACACGTATGGACGACCTAGTGCCCTGATTGGCCCAGCTTCGCTGTCTGTCCCAGGCAGATGAGTCTAGAACACAAGTCACAGCCTCTGAGATATGAATCATTGTATTTCAGACATACTCTATTTATATACCAACCAAACAAACCACATCGTACCATAAAGATAGTAAACAACATTTACACAATATGTAACGAATGAATTAAATAATAACCAATAGGGGATGTACATTTAAAGTCCAAGGCCACCATAGACTTAACATGACAATGATTGGCACATTATTCTGCATCGATAACACGTTCACAGAATGTGGATTCACTTCGTTATTTAACACCTTTTTTATTTATCTGATTTCCGTTATTTAAATAATCAGTGCATGAAATACAAAAAAAAACAATTCATACTGTACAACAAATTTATCGATAGTTTCGAGTCATGAAACGGATTAAAAGCGAACAGAACAGTGTCTCGTTATCATGTTTACATAAAAGGGTTTGGTTTCACGAAGTAACATTAGTTATTTTCTTGCGCTTAGATGCATCATGCTGTTGAAATACAAGAAAAAACACGCGAAACGTATGACAGATCTCAGTTGAATAAGTCAGAAAACCAATGCTCCAGTTGAAAATGAAAATCAAGGAAATTGTAAATAACTTACATGTTATTAGTAGA